AACACGTAATACCTTGGACTGCTAAGTCTGTGGCCTTCCCTTCTTGCTCCTTTCCACCTGTGCCCCAAATAGAGCCAAATCCTCCCATGCAATGGGGTTTCCCCTTCTGTGGGAGGCAATTCGAGGCTTCTTGCATCACTCCAGCACCACTTACGTCTTCAGAAGTGGCTGAGGAGGGTTTAGAGGATCCCTACACCTCCCAGAGATGATGCTCAGCCGTAACAGATTCTGTCTTGCAATCACCACTTGAATTGCTACTGTCACCATAAAGGGGGGATGATCATTCACGAGGGAGAAGTACCTCTCTGCCACAGGGAGCACCTGCACAAGTCAGCTGGGCCCTGCGCATTTTGGAGCTTCTGTAAGACCACGTGTTCATCCCCGTAGGTGATGGCATCTTTTGTTTGATCTGTCATATTTCTTGTGTTGCTGTTGATTGATCCTTGTTACCTTCCTAGCAGATTTTAAATGAATGTGACGACTCTCAATGCCTTTTGGGACTAGGCTCTGGAATTGAGCACCTCATAATGTGCTGCGCTAGTACTTCTCTCTGCCCAAGGAAATTTCAGTGATGCAGGTTCACTCTAAAGGAAATTCAAAACAAATTTTGGCCCACTAGCTTCAAAATGCTGTGAATTCTCCATCTGGTAACTTTGCTAGGGTGCATTCTGCTAGAAGTTAAGGGGTTTTTTTATCACCTCAAAGCTGCCAAAAAAGGTCAATTGCATCTATTCTTTTTTTMCTCCCCCTCATTGCAAGAAGCAGCGACTAGCTTTTCCACACTCTTATTTGTGTATTTGGAGTTAGCTTTATCTCTTTTAAAACATTTTTTTCTGTTACCTTTTCTCTCCTCACCTTCACTGCTAGACAAGAGTGAAGCTCTCCGCAAAGAAAAATGACGCTCCTGGAGAGGAGCAACTGCAGATACTGGCTGAAGTTGGGTATCCTGTGGGCAGATACTGAGGCAGTTTCACAGCCCTTGCATGAACTGCCACGCTGACCTGCAGGGTAACTCCTGCCTTGCCCAGTTTTGTTTTTTTCTATCTGAGGCTGTCTCGGAGCAGACCTGCTCAGCCTGCCAAGCCTTGTGATGGCTTTCTGATGTGGTGTGGGGTGCGTCCCACCTCTTGCCATTCATAACTCCTGGTCTCAAATGAGACTCAGATCCAGCCTGCAGACCTTCTGTGTTAACCCGCTACACCACAGTCTACCCGATCCTAAAATAATGCTGCTTAAAGAGGGGCTGACCTTCCCTTAGTGCCAAAGAGGTCTTCACTCCAGGGAACACGATGTGGTTTGAATTAGCTGGTGCTTTTCACGGGGAGACCGGTGCTTTGTGGTCAGTAGAAGCTTTTTTCATTCTAGATTGAGGGGGAAAAAGTTGGTACCATGAACAACTCATTAGTTGTCTGTGATTCAAAGATGATACAGGCCTGATCTTGAAAAATTCTGCTGTATTAAGTGGGTCTCTACTCCAGTCCAGTAATGTCCATCTTTCCATTTATTTCTGTAAAATATGGGTTATTAATCCTCCAAGGACAAGATTTGAATCTCTCACCAAGGCTGTCTCCATTTTGAAAATGGGTGTGAAGTATGGGATTAATCCTAAAGGGAAAGGCAGATAGAAAGTGTTTGTGGGAATTATTTTTGGCCTAAAGAAGCCCACAAAAATTAACTACAAGGACTTCTCTATACGTTTCTGTATGGAACCATTGATGATAAATATGGCTGTACGAACGAGTTTATCCCCAAATAAATCTATGCATCGCTACCACCAGCACCAATTCACCAGTGACCAGATTAAAAAATGAAAATTAGAAAAAAAAAAAAAAGGAAAAAAAGGGGTTTCTCCCCGATTTGGGTTACATGGCAGTGACCAGCCACCTACATTTGATCCTATAGCCCAGTAAAGCAACCGAGTCTGTCAAGACACCTACCCTCTTGGAGGTCTCAGGATGAGGATACACCCTTTGCATTGATCTACACAGGACATAGGGTCCCATGGAGAAGGGAGAGAATCCTGTGGCCTGATTTTAAAATCCCAAGGAATTTCTTGGGATACCAGGAGAGGAGGTGCTTTTTCATGATATCTCAGACAAACCAAACCATCTTTTTATTTCACTGCTGCTGATAATGTGTGTTGCAGCAAAAGCTCTGCGGACCACGGTGCAGTCGCAGGGGCAGTGGGCTGTAGGACACACAAACACAAAGGCTGCACCCCACAGCATTAAAGAGACTGATCAAGCCTTTCATCTCTTCTGCATCAGTGCTGTAAGTAATATTTCCTGAAAGTTATTTTAAAGCACCACAGGTGAAACCCAGACCCATAAGATTCAATGGCTCCACACTACAATTTGGCCAACTTTCCAGTGAAAAAGTGTTGACAAGTTTTATTGTTGTTCCATCTTTCTCTTCCCTTTTCTCACCCATTAAATAAATAAAAGGGGAAAACATAAATCAAAAGTAACATTATTTAGTCTTCTCTTTCTTTCCGGGCTGGAAGCAGTGGTAGAAATAGCTCTGACACAGCTTCCCAGCCAGGCAAGGGAGCATAAAGAGGACACCAGCACCCCTCGGGAGGCGTGATGGGGATCATAATATTTCAAATTGATTTTTGCTGAAGCCCACAAAAATCCTTCTTTTAGGCTGTTGCCCTGCTGGTCAGGACTGCCCTGCAGCTCGTGAAGAGGAGGCCTGTGTCCCTCCGAGGCTGGTAGCAGTGCTGAGCTCATAGACAATTTGCAATCTGGGGCAAGAAGGATGCTTAAAAGTACGCTGACTTCTGCTGGAGTTCACACATGCATTTACTGTAACTTCTAGGTCTTCAGCAGCCAGAAAAAGTATCCAGGGCTTCATTTTGCCCTCACTTATAGAAGGAAGGCAGCTGTTGAGCTCTGCAGTTACACTTCTGTCTCACCAGGACAATCTGTGGTTCCTTATCCCTGGAGGGAATTCGGGGGGCTGCTCGGGAAAACCAGGCTCTCTCACAGTAAGAAAACATCCCTGTCACCAATGTTCACTCCCTGTGTAGATTTTCTCTAGGGCATATCTTGCTTGTGACAGGCACTATATTGCTCCTAGCATCAGGTTAAGAAAATACTCAGCTGGGAAGTGACGTGTTACACTGTCAATAAAAGGGGTATTTCTCAAACCTTTTCTGTTATACTCTTGGTGTCAGGGAGACTGTCAGTAGCGGTGCAGTCTGCCTGTGTGAGAAAAAGAGGGTTGCGAGATCATGCCCGGAGAGAAGAAATGCCCCAGGCAGGCAGTCTCAGCAGCGCTAGCCGGCACAAGTTTGTTTGCCAAGTGATGGTATCGGCCACACTGCTTGTAGCAATTCCGGCTGCTGAACCAGGAAAACAAACACGTTCCCCTCAGCTCCGGTCCCCTCCTCTGCGGCGCATCCAGAGCTGCCTTAACAGAGAATTTTCTGCAGTTGCCACTGCTTGAAAGGAATATTAGACCCCACAATCTGGGCTTTAAACACATTTTTAATGGGATGAGACCCACTTTGGGGAGGGCAGATGGGACAGCTCATTCCACCTCTTATTTTCTTCTGAAGCTTCTGACTCTGGCTACTGTTGGGAGTAARACACTAATTAGTTTGACCTCGGGTCTCCTTCAGCGTGGTGGCTCTTATGCTCCTATGTTAAACCTTATAATGTAGATCGCTATCAAATTGCTTGATACAGCTCTGTCTGGCTCCTTCCCCTTGATACTATGTGTGGGAAGCCAAGTAAAATGTTCCATTAGTGCTTAGAAAGAGAATTTGAGATATATTTTTCAGTTGATGCTCTAGGATTTATTGCATATATAGTCTAGAAATGATTTTACTGGACTGAAATCATATTATGTATTAATGAATTACCAGGATATGAGTCAGCCTTGGAATAGTTGGAGCAGGAAGGTAGCATTCTTTCACAAACAATAATCTTTTGATAAATAGTGCCGAAAGCTGTAGTTCAATAGAAATTGTTCTTAAAGGGACCCAGAAAGGTACTATGAGCATATATATTCCCCCCACTGCAGCAGTGCACCTTGAGATAATGCCTGTTACAGCTCTTACTCATTTAATCACTTCAGCTAATGTAAGGGATCAGCTGCACTCAGTGCTGTACACGACTGCAGTGAAATCCCTAGCCCAAGTGAGCAGGGAAGTTTCCTTTTCCTGTTCCTTTCACCTACCCTTCCAGCCCTTTTAAAAATGCCTTATTTTGATTATAGAATCATAGATTCATAGAATCCCTGAGGCTGGAAGGGCCTTTAGAGAGGTCCCTTTTGATGTTTTTGTTCTGAGTGAGGACCTGAACCAAAGCAATGGGAGGTGGTTATCTCCCTATAACCATGTTAGGAACCCTTAGTGCTTGTGCAGCTAACTTGGTGAAGAGCCCTGCTTGGGACAGGTGAGGTGAGCTCTAAGCCCTGATCCATGATCAAATGGAAGAATATTTGCTCGGGATTTGCTAGGTGGGTTATTTTTTGAAGCACATTTGTAAGGCATTTCCATTAAGTATTTTATGAGGGACACCTGCCCTTCTTGCACTCCAGGCTTTTCTAGGCACATAGAGGAGTGTGGGCTGGAGCAAATGTGAAGACCTTGTTAGAGGAACTTAGGCCTGTGTGGTGTGGGGCAAGGCCCTGTGGGCTGTGGYGTGGTGGGCATCCTTGCTGGCAGGGACTGAGGTGATTTTTGCTGGCTCTTGATCTCTAAACAAGATTTCTAAGTACTTTATAATGACTCTTTGAAGCAGAGCTGCAGAACAGCAATTGTTGTATATGTTCATGGGCCACTGGCTTGAGCAGGAGCTCAAGGTAGGCTGAGGATGTAGGATCAGGTCCACAGAGGATCTTCATTTTACCAAAACTCTCTTCAGTTGAAAATGGAAACTGCATTTTAGTACTTGCTTTTTCAGCACTATTGGGTAGCACTAGGTCAAATTTTCACCCTAATCCTCTTATTTCTTCAAGAGGTCTCCCTAGCTGCTACTTGAGGGTAGCAGAGAGAGTTTGGCAAAGACGATAGCTTTCTCTGCTCAGAAATATGTCTGAAAAGCAAGTGTGTTGCAGGACGGAGAGACTGTTCCTTGCTGGGCATGCAGAAGGTAAAGCCTTTGTTTTTACATGTTTCTCATCAGACTGTTAAGTTGCTCTTGCAGAGATGCTGTGTAAATAGGGGGCTTGAGGAGAGTGCAGAGTACTATATACCATGTTTATGTTTGTAGGGAGACAAATAAACCTGCCTGAATTTTCTTTTAAGGCACTTCCACTCTTGATATATGGTTTATCCTACTCCAAGCACTTGAGATAGTAGCAGTTTACTACCATAATAGCAGTAGATAACTCAACTTGCCTTCGCCTTGGAAAGTGATTGATTTTTGGAAAAGAATACATGTTTGCTCATAAAATCTTGGCAATGTTTTGATGAAAGTACTTTGTTTCCTTAAAAACGTTGGGAAAGCATTGCCTTTAATTGCGTTTTAGATTGTCCTGGCAAAACAATGGTAAGAGGATAAGCGTAATAGGAGCCAAAGCCAACTGCCTCCTACTGGGTTCCTCCAATTAATAAATGGAGGAGCCCGAGCCTAGCAAAGCCCTCTGAGAAGGGTGGGAAAGGGCCCGGGCAGGTGCACAGATCCAAGAGCACGGGCAATGTCTGGAAGTCTGTGATCAGCCCAAGCACTGATAAAATTCCAGCCTCCTGCTTTAAGAAACTTTGTCTTTTTACTTGCTTATTTCTATCATCTCTTTTACCTCCAATCCAAGCAGATTGGAGCTGCCCTCCAAACAGCACCCAAAACTGAGAGGCCTGTGGGCGGCYTCTTGCTTGATGCTGCCCGACTCTCACGTAGAGGAGAAGAGCRTCTGAGCCGAGAAGAGCTGTCACCCAAGCACACCACGCGCCAGGGCCCGCCGTGTTGCACCCTTGCTGGTGCTCCTAGTGCTCCTAATAGATCGGGCTGTCACACCTGCCATTGCCTGTAGCTGCACTTTCATTTCCCAAACTAAGCATTCAGAGGCGCGCTTCTAARTCAGGCTCACTTACCACAGCTAGGTTGGCCTTTCTCTGGCTGCCACTGAAAGCCTGAGAATATATTTATACCTCCTTGGTATCCTTGGATTGGATTGGATCTGTGAGTCTCACTGATCCAGTATCACACCGATTTTGGTAACTCTCTTGGAAGAAAAATGTGATCAAGCAAAGTGCTTAGCTCAAATTATATTGATTTTTAAAATTAGTAGGTTCTAAAAAAAAATACTGTTAAAAATACTTATGCATTATTGCACTGTCAGATTTTATTTAGAAGATAGCTGTGCTTTACTARAGTTCAGATCCCTATAGTACACTTCTAAACCTTCTAGTCCTTTTAAGAATCATTACAACAGATTATTCACAAGGATACCAGCAAGGGGAGAAAAAAGGAAGGGAGTGATCATCTTGAGCTCATGCTGGGGCTCAGTGCCAAGAGCGGCACAGTAGAAAACTACAATGATTTGAAATTATCCTCTCATAATGCTTTTTCAGACTATCTCCCATGACTTCCTTCATGTCTGTGAACTTGGGAAGATTTAATTTTAATTTTTTGCCATTGTGTCTAGTTACTTCTGGTTTTGTTTTCTGTTCCACAGAAGATCCCAAAAGCTTTCTGACCTGGAAAAACATATTTCMTTTAAAACTTGTCATATTTTAAAGCATCTTCAGAGCTGTTTCAGGTGATGGGTGCCGTTCTCTACAAGCCCTCCTGGGAGAGAGCGCTTGCTGAAGGCCGCTCCACCCTCTTCCCCTGCCTAAGAGTAGATATGGGCATCCCTGCAGTTTTCTGTCGGAGTGCCCAGGGGAGCGCCTGTGTGGGGCTGTAAAGAGAGTGTGTGAACAGAGGGGCTATGGAGGGGGGTCCCAGGGCTCCTCGGGGGGCAGTCTGCCGGGACACTGTYCCTGCCCAGCCGAGGCCCGGCCCCAGCCAACCACCTGGGATCGGGCGAGTTCCAGCGACCGCTCGAACTCRAGCGGCACCCAAAGTTGGAGACACCCCTCGAACACCGGTGGAAGCCGCAGGGGCACAAGGCGGCGGAGGCGCCGCGGTGGGGCTGGCTCGCGGCCGGCCTCGCTGCCCCGCACCGCGTTCCTCAGGCCCTCCCTCGCGAGAGCAGGTCGGGGCTGGGGCAGCCGAGAAAATGGGGGAGGAGGAAACCTGCGTGGGCCCCGTTCGGCCTCAGCGGTCTCTACTGACGTTCCTCCGCTCTCCTTGCGTGTATGGGATTTGGCGTTTAATTTTGCACTACACTGCTTAAGATAATAAAAGAAATTACTGTCTCCCCCAAAGTGAATTTATCAGGTAATCCTCTACCGTTATTCCTTTTTCAGTTTGCTTCTGCTTACAAAATATTAAAAATAAAATGGGGCTCTTCGTGATACTTCAGAGAGAAAATGTTGAAAACCTCTGTTTTTGCCAGACAACAGAGAAGTAATAATGCAATAATAATAATAATAATGGTGATGATGATATATTTTTATTTACAGAAATTATAAAAGCCTTGGGCCAAATCCCACCAACTACATTGAAGGATATCCTGAAAGCCCCCAAAGTYAGCTGCCAATTCTTGCCTGGCTGAAATTGCCAAATTCTGCTCTTTCCATCCCAAACTATAAATCTTCCCGTTCCCTGAGGCAAAGCAAAGCTTTGGGTGATTCAAAAGCAAGCAAATAGCTCGGCAGCTGATGCATGAGGCAGAACAAAACCCTACTCAGTGCCTGGGAGCAGAACTGGCTCTGCRGTGCTGACAGGAAGAGGAATGTATGGTGGTCAGTTCACTTGGCACAGGGTTGAGGGAAACRCATAGGGAATAGATATTTACTGCCTTAGGATGTTGTTCTGCAGTCCTGTTTCTCCCTTTGAGAAAGCCTTGAGGGAAGCTTGTRGAAGAGGGTGAGCTTGTGGACTTTGTGGAAGAAAATTAAATCAGGAATTTTTGAAAGAAACTGAAAAGAGAAGGGGAAATTAATTTGTTGGTACATGGTCTCACATAAAACTCCCTTGGAAGAGTTCCTAAAGAAAGGGTTGTGTTTGCTCAGGAGAGGAAGCAAACAGTTTAGGCCTACAACTTTATTGCCAAGTTTCAGTTTTTAACCTGCTTCACCTCTGTTTTCAAACCCCAGGGATAAGCACAGCGGGTCCCTGAAAGCTAACTGGGATCCTTGGATAAGGACTGAGAGCAGAGATAAAGAAAAGGAGCTGCCAGTTGCCTCTAAAGACTCTCCARCTGTGTGGTCTTGTTCTTCCCAGCTGCAGTTCCCTTTGCTGCTGCTTCTAGGTAAACAGCTGGGATCTGTTTGCTCTGATGTTAGTGATGGGGATGACTTTGCTGGGTTAAGACTCATCCYCTCAGTGCCTGGCATCAAAGAGGGCTCTAACTACTGCAGTTCTTGTAACCGCTGAAGGGGGCCAGCGAACGATCGCTGTCTTCTGATCGTTAACTGCTCAGGTGATAGGAATTAATGGGCACAGCCAGCCACCCAAAGGAGCTACTTAATTGGAATTCTGCTTTCTGTATGTAACCTCAGATGCAAAAAAAAAAAAAACCATGAAAAATATATTGGGAGGTACTTGCTGATTCCATGAAGGATCAGGTATGCATGATACTCTTTTAAGTGAAATTATTCAGCATTTACCCAATTTAGCAACTAAAAAGGATCACTGAGTTGAACTCTAGAAAATAAACTGGGAAGACTAAGAGTTCAGTCCAGGAAAACTCCTATACTGTCCTTTCTGAAAGAGCAATGCTTTCTAAGCTTACCAAGCAAAGTACTAGAGGCTGCATAAGGCAGGACTTCAGACTAAATGAGCATAGTCATCTTGCTAGCATTAAATACATTCATTCTGTGGGGGRAAAAAAAACTATGTTTCTAGTAGAAAGAGTTATCTTTCAACTTTGGACGTATAGAAGAAGTGGAAGAAAGCAAATATCCCTCCAGTCTTCAAAGACGTTGTGAGGAAGGACTCAGAAAACAACAGGCCAGTCGGTTTCACATCTGTCCTTGGAAAGATGATGAAACGGCCTGTGAAGTTTAAGAGGTGATCAGGAGTAGTSAGCATGGATTCACCAATGAAAAATCATGCTTGGCCAACCTGTTGGCCTTCTGTGATGGAATGATTGGCTGGGTAGATGAGTGGAGAAGAGTGGATGTTGTCTGCCTTGACTTCAGCAAGGCTTTTGACAGTGGCATCCTCATAGCCAAGCCAAGGAAAAGCTAGATGAGTGGGCAGTGAGAGGTGGGTTGAGAAGCAGCTGAATGTTAGAGCTCAGAAGGTTGTGCTCAGCGACACAAAGTCTTGTTGGAGGCCTGTAGCTATCAGTGTCCCCCAGGGATAGTACTGGGTCCAGTCCTGTTCCATTTATTCATCAATGACCTGCATGAAGGGACAGAGAGCCCCCTCAGCGAGTTTGCTGATGATGCAGAACAGGGAGGAGCGGCTGATGCCCCAGAGGGCTGTGCTGCCATTCAGAGGGACCTCGACAGGCTGGGGAGATGAGCAGAGAGGAACCTCCTGCAGTTCGGCAAGGGCAAGTGCAGGGTCCTGCACCCAGGGAGGGATGCAGTAGGAGGAATAACCCCAGCACAGGCTGTGGGTTGACCTGCTGGAGTGCAGCCCTGCAGASAGGGACCTGGGTGTCCTGGTGGACAAGAAGTTGGCCATGAGTCAGCTATGACCTCAACTGTTCCGTGATGAGCAAATTTTGTATTCCTCAACTGAGCTAAAGCAACAGGTTTGAATACTGCATGGTAGAGAGGACTAACCTGGATWACAGTACAGAGAAACCCTCTGAGAAAATTCCTCAGAGTTTGGCACTGGCTGCCACTTTCTGAAGCTCAGTAATAGTAATTTTATTCTGTACTGCTAAATCCTTGCAATATTTCCTTTCTCTGATGCTTACATAATAAGTCACAGGTTTCTGGTTATTTACTGCATCTCTGTACAACAGAGTATGCAGGCTTCTTCTATAGTTCATATGCATTTATTTGTTTTACTACCACTTTTCATTCTTAGAGCAAATCATCTCTAATAAAAAGCACATTTCCTTGCAAGCAGAATCAATTTCCTTCAGAAGTCCTTCACTCCCTGATTAGTGTGTTACATTTGGTCTTCACTAATCACATAGTTAACTGTGAGCAATAAAATTCTTAAATAAATAAATGCTCTGGTCCAAGTCAAAATTACCCATAATGGACAGAGTTCCCCACTTAAGCTTTTGAAACACAAGATGTGACTGTGCTACCTACACATTTACATTCACGTTAAAAGTGTAGTGATTAATGCCAGAAGTGTTTCTTCTGCAGATCATTAGTATGTTATTAACAATTAGGTCTCAGCAACAAGTTGACTTGATTGCAAGTCAGTCAAGCAGCAGGAAGCCTGACTGGGTGGGGGTTTTCAATTACCTTTAAAGGTTTGGTGTTATGGTGTTTGGGTGTTTTGTTTGGGTTTTTTTGGTAGGCTGCAGAGCTCACAGTGGGGAAGCAATGAATTGGAAGGTTTGTGTGTGACTGCATCTTTCTGGGCTTCCTCCTCTTTGGTTTGCTGTTACCCTGTGAAATGTAGTGAGAAGTTAGGCATCAGCCATCCCTTCTGGTGGGCGCTGGATGTGTGCTCAGAGTTACGTCCCGAGATGGAGGATGTCTTTTTACTAACTGTGAACAGGCGTAAGTCGCTTTGGATAGGAAAGCTTGAAAAATGATGGAAACGCTGTCATGCTGCTGTAGCAAAATGGCTTTCCCAACACTGAATTTAAAACAGCATTAGTTGGAGAATGTAGCTTGAATCACGGCTCCCTCTGGTCCAGCAGCTGCTCACATTAAGATATGTGGTTTCCCTAATGTCTGTCAAATATTGCTGGAAACCACTCTGGGTAGGCTGTAAGGTGAAYAACGTTACATGGGTGGTATCAGTTCCCCACAGAAATTGGAGGATGGAGGTGGGGAACCCAGAAAATGACTCTCAGCCACAATATATGTAAAAAAGCATTAGTGTTTATTTTAAAAATATCATCCAGCAGTCCTTTAGAGCTTGTAGGCGCAAGTGTTCAATGACTGGGGAAAGGGAAAGGCTCCGTTTCTCCGCGGAGGCAGCGAGGTGGAGGCCGAGAAACGCAAGTGCCCCACATTCTACCTGGCCTTGGGTTTGGTGGGGCAGGCGCGAGCAGCTGAGCGGAGCGCGCTGCCCCCAGCCTGT